CAGGCTGTTTGTACTCATAGGACTCCGTTTGAGGGCAGCCTCTAGTTAAGAGTGCCCTTAGTGATCAACTCCTGTTTGAGTCTGTTTCCTCTAAAATATTCATGTTGGTGTTAGCACCTACCTTCTAGAGCTCAAAGTTACTGGAAAGAATCACTTCTGGCTTCTTTTTCTTCTTTTTTGTGTTTCTGTTTCTATCAGTGAAGTAGTACCTTTATCAGAAAGTATCTTTTTTACAAAGAAGAGGTTCTCCATAGGTTGCAACTAAACTACAATTCTTCTCAACAGTTTACTTTTTGTTTCATTCTGAATTGTGTTGCCTCTGGAAAGCACAACATTTTAAACAAAAGTTTGAACTTGTTTGCTCTGCAGTCTACCAACCCTACACCTAAGTTCCAGCTTACCAGGTAGCCCTTTCTGTCAGATGTATTAGGAAAGCAGCAAAGACTAATTCCACCAAACATAAAGCTGTTGATATTGCTTATACGCCCTCGCCTTGTCTTCTTGAACATTTCTAAAGGATGTAGTTCAGTGGTGGGACTCAAGGCCCTAAATTCAGTCTGCATGAGAGAGGAGGGAGAGACAGCCACAATGTTTTCAAGAACTCACCCATTGTGTTACCAAAAAAAAAAAAAAAATCCAGCTTGCTTCACACCCAGTACTCTTACTACCAAAAGGACAAGTTTTTGCAAAAGAAAGTTCAGCAAAAGGCAGACTTGAGAAGTCAGGAGCCCCAGACCTCACCTATCTCTCCAGGATAGGTAAAGGGATATTTGTGGGGCTTAGAAACAAGGTAATCAGAGACAGAGGGAAATAGTCGGCGGTGAAGATAATGAAGCTGTGAGTGGTTGTAGAATATTAAAATGTATTTGAGATGTGCTACATTTGTTTATGCTGTGAAATGTTTGTTTAATGGTGCAAAGATGTGTTGCATTCTTTTATATTTATTTGTTTTTAACTGTGTAAAGCTGTGTTACTTTGCCTGTCTAAAACACCTGATTGGTCTAATAAAGAGCTGAACGGCCAATAGCTAGGCAGGAGAAAGGCCAGGTGGGGCTGGCATGCAGAGAGAATAAATATGAGAACTCTAATCTCAGGAGAAAAGAGGAAAGAGGGAGCGAGAAGATAAGGGCCAGCCACCCAGCCACACAACCAGCCACAGAGTAAGAAGGGAAGAGAGATATAGAGATTAAAGGAAGGTGTAAAGCCCTGAGGCAAAATGTAGTTAAAGATAAATGAGATGATTTAAGTTAGAAAAGCTGGCTAGAAACAAGACAAGCAAAGGCCAGTCATTCATAAGTAAGAATAATTCGCCGTGTATGTATTTGGGAGATGGGTGGTGGGTTTCCAAAGTAAAAAAAACAAAAAACAACTACAGTGAGTGGCCTTGCAGGTGGATAGCCAGATGCCATGGCTTTGTGCCCTGCATGTTGAAAGTAATGACTTTGTTCTTTGAAAGTGAGATTTGATGAATGGTTTGTTGTCTTTTTTTTTTTTTTTTTCTTGAGAGAGGGTCCTGCTGTATAGACAAGTCTGGGCTCAAATTTGTGGTTAGTCCTTCTGCCTCTGCTCCCACCTAGGTACTTAGATTATAAGTGTGACTCTCCATGCCGTGCTTGAATATGGAGTCCCCCTTACCCCCCCAGATGCTTGCAATGAACCTAGTTCCGGCTAGTTTGAGGCAAGGACAAAAAGCATGGCAGTGGCCCTGGGGAAAGTTGAGGCCCACATGACAAATTGAGGTTGCCTTCTTACAGGTTCCTGAAAAGGAGGAGACTCTATGCTAGGAGGCTGATGAGTCCACAGTGAATGCTTGCAGGTCAGGCAGTCTCTGATTCCCTGATGCCAGTGGGAGGGGATTGTTTCCTGCATTCTAAGGACAGAATATGTGACCTTGAAGATGTGGGGAAAGTGAGGAAAGGCACCCCGTGTAGTTAGTGAGCACTCAGTGCATTCATTGTGTTGGGTGTACAGGTGTTGGGTGACCCAATAGCTTGGGGCCTGGTAGCCTAGAGCCTTGTGTCAGGGTGGGGAGAGACAACTCAGGTATGACCTGAGCAGCGTCTGGAGTGGATCCCAGTGGAAAGCAAGTGAAGCTATAGAGTCTCATTCCTGTTTTCTTTGGGCATTAATAGTATCCATTACAAATTTATTGAAATTATAATTTAACAAAGAAAACAATGCTGCCTCTATTCTTAGCTGCCCAAGCATGCCATTTATGAAAGAATTGAAATTCAGTCAAAATACTTCAACAATATAGAATAATTTCACCTTTTCACATTGTGCATTCTTCTTTTTTATTACTCCCCCATGTATTTGTGTGCATGCACAAGTGTAGAGGTCAGAAACTAGCATTTCTCTTCTTCCATCATTAAACCCAGGTGGCAGGCTTGCTGGCCCTTGTGTATTTTTCCTAAGTACAAAACTCAAAACCCTATCATCTTTGTATTTGGTATCTAATAAAGGTGCCGATGGTGCCAAGTAGTTATACTACTGATAGTAATTCATCATTTGCTTTGCCCCAATAGCAACTGTGTGATCCTGATAGTCAGTACTCTGAACCGCACTATCCTCACTAAGAATGCACACTCCTCATTCCAACTTCTTATGCCCTGAAAGGAAACAGGATAACCATCAACAGGAAGCTGGGAAGTACATAGTTAACCAGCTCGAACTCCTTCAGCTTTAAGGTCATACTTGTTTCAAATGACCAGTGGATGTATTTAGACTGTCTGTCCCTTTGGTGCTGACTAGAGGCTGATTGTGTGAGCCACCTGCCATTTTCCCAAGTTCCAGTGTTGAGACAGTAGAAGTGATAACTAGGAGCATGAGAATTCTCTCTTCCAACAGCAAAAACCAGTTAAATATATTTTCGTGTTGTAAACTGATCTGTGGCCCGTGTTGTTAGTATTACTTACTTATTCAGAGTTTAGTAGTTCTACTCATCCAAAATAAAATCTTTGATTGTTTAAATGATAGTCTTCCAGTTTGTGGCCTCACTAAACTTTTCCATATGACTGCAGTTGAAGTTCAATTATCTTAACAAAAGTCAGAAGCAAAGCTAAGCTTCCACAGAGCATTCTCAGACTCAGCATTTCCTGGGTCAGAACCTACAGCTACTTTATATAGCTCTCCTATAATAACTTAGATTTGTGTCCTTACATGAAAGGTGACCTAGTAGAGGGTGGGTTTGGATCCATGGACAGTTTGTTTTCCCAGTCCATTCAGATTATTTATTTATAAGTTTCTTCTTGATCTTTACTTTCTGAACACAAACTTCAGAGTAGTTAGCCAGATTGTGGCAAAGAGTAGGGTAGAAAGTGAGGTCAAAATTAGCATAGTATTGAAGTTTGCACAGAGAAACTGAAAACTCACCATGAGAGCTGATGTCTAACAGCTTGCACAGAATAAATTCATTTCATGCACATGATCTCAGAACCCAAGACTGTAACAGTTTTGGTCCTTTGTACAGCTTTCCACTGAGCCTCTTCCCTTTCATCAGCTCTGGCCCACTTTATCTTTTGGAAATGTTTTCTTTCCTAATAAACTGTAGCTCCTTCTACCACTGCCCTTATGTCCCTGATCCAGTTCCTTATTATAAGAAATCCCAGTGGGTACCCACTGAGGCCCAGTATCTGCCTGGAATAAAACCACTGGTAATCTGTGATGTTTAAATTATTGTTCCAAAGAATATGTAAAGATCATTTCCAATAAAGTCACACTCCTAAACTTACTTGCATTAATGAGATCAAGAGACTTAACTGATCAGTTCAGCGTGTCCCATGAACAAATAAATGGCTATGATTCTGAGTCCACTTTCTTAAAGTTTTATTCCAAGCTTGACAATCTGAGTTCAGTTCCCATTTTAGAAACAAAGAATAATCTCCATGTCCCATAAAGGAACACAGGAACAAAGCATAAGTAGCTCAGCCAGGCTACTCTTTTTGTAAATAGGGTGCAACAAGACTCAAATGCCTAACAAGCCACTGGGACAGGAAGTTCACTTGATTTTTATTCAAACCAGGTAGTAAACAGTTTCTTTCCCCCCATTGTTTGGGGTCCAGTCAGTCTTTTGCTGTTGGCTAGCTTCAAAAAAATCAGCATGAAGGAAAGAGGTAAGGGTTAAGATTTGTATAAACGTAATACAAGCTATGGGGAGGTGTATGGAATATTGGCCCTTGCTGGGCAAATTACCTTTTAAAAAGTTTCCCCCACACACACCTGAGACTCCACATGATGGAAGGAAGAACTGACTCCCACAAGTTACCCTCAATTCCATGCATGCATTTGTTCACATTTTATTGTTGAGGCAGGGTCTTACTCTGTAGCCATTGCTTGTTTGGGTCTCACTATGTAGACCAGGTTGACCTTAAATTCACAGAGTTCGGGTTCAGCTTGCCTCTACCCCCCTCAAGTGCTGGGATTATTAAAAGCATGTGTCACCATTCCTGACCTTATTTTGCTTTTTTAGTTGAAAAAAAATAAAAATATTTTTAAAAGTCCCTCCATATAGTTGTATCCTAATTTGGAAAATAAACAAAGTTAGTGTCTGTTTTGTTTTATTTGGTGCAGTCTTGACATGTGTATGCTTTAACTACTTAATTCATCCTGCTTATAAGTACTACGTGTCAGACCATGGACTCTCCCTTTCAGACACTGGTTCCACCAAGCAGCCAGAGCTCACAGAAGAAATCAGACCACACATACCCCTGCACAGAGAGAAGGAGAGAGGGAGGGAGAGAAACAGTGAGGAAGAGAGAGAGTTCATGTACCCATCCTGATCCCAACTGCCCTATGCAGAACTTTAGGTTCTATCCAGTACTTGGCTCCTCCATGCTCATTGTCAAGTAAGCAATGTAAATAACATGGTGTAGAACTTCTGCCACCCCATGAAATGATATAAAAAATCAGTTATCTTCCTTTGTTCTCCAGATTTTTCTTTGTAGAACTACAAAGAGTTGTTTTGGGTTTGGATCAGTGCTTATGTTTTCTTTCCTTTGCAGGCAAGAAGCTCTTCTGGCTGCTATTAGTGAAAAGGATGCTAATATAGCTCTTCTCGAGCTTTCCTCCTCTAAGAAAAAGACCCAAGAAGAAGTGGCTGCATTGAAACGGGAAAAGGACCGCCTGGTGCAGCAACTCAAACAACAGGTATGTGATGCAGTAGAGGCAGGAAGAGCAGGGGGGTGGGAGCAGTTCCCTCTGCCCTTTCAAAAATATCTTTGCCACTGTGTGTTTTTAGGACCTTATGTTTCATGCTAGAGATCAAATACAGAAGATTCATAATTTGAGATCTGTGGCTATCTAAAAAATATTCATAGAATTCTTAGTGATTGGATTAAATTAGAAGATATCACAGGTCCTAGGTTTTTGGTTTTTGGTTTTCTTTTTTATGTCATAAAAGTCACAGTGATCAATCTTTTATTCATACTCACACTTGATTACTTACAGTGTTGAACATTTACCTTCTCTGTGTTTGCATCTTTTTGGGTTCAGTTTGCTTTCATTTTGTTGGGACAAAGTCCTGCTATGTAGCTCTGGCTGGTCCTGTACTCATTTTGTAACCCAGACTAGTCTTGAATTCATGAAACTCCCCCTGCCTGAGCTTCATGTCCAGCTATATCTATAAAAATTTTGTTGTAGTTTCTAACAAGAAGACTTAATTAACTGTATAATTCTGTTTGACTGTTGGTAAACATCAAGGCATTAATTGACTCACAGAACAGATGAACTCCAAATGTCAGTGGTTAGTAAGATCTGTACTTTCCTCCAACCTACACTGCCAGATCAGTGTTTGCTTCAACTCTATGGCTTACCAAACCGACTCACAGACTTCTTAGCTCTCCTCTCTCCATGACCCTCTTTTCCTTGGGCCACACTCTTTCCTGTGAACAGATCCTTCTAGGCTCTCCCTGAATTTATTTAACAGCACTGACCAATTATTATTACATGCTTACTGTGTATCAGGACTTCTTCTGGCTGCTGCTAATTCAACAAACATGACCCTGAAGACTTTCATTTATTACAGGATCATCCCTTTTATCTAGCAATGTGGATATTTTCTCACACAGGGTTTTCATGTCATCTAGTTTGACAAAGACATATTTTCTCCCAGTTTTACTAAAAATGGAGCAAAAACATTTTTATTACTGATTTTTAAAAAACTTCTTTCTAAGTTACTTAGCAAACCTCATTTTAAGATCCTAGAAGTATGCCAGGCAGTAGTGGTACACATCATTAATCCAGAACTGGGTAAGCAGAGGCAGGCAGGCCTCTGAGTTTAAGGCCAACCTGATCTACATATTGAGTTCTAAGACAGCCAAGGCTATACAGAAAAACTGTCTTGAAAAACCAAAAGGAGAAAAAAAAAAAAACTATCCTGGAAGACACTTCTCTTTGTTTGTTATTGTAAACAACTGTCAAGTTCCAGAGTGTGGAGTAGAACTGTGATTAAAAGTTTAAAAATTAACAGATTGGGGATATGAAAGCAGGCCTGTGGAGTTGTAAATAATGTATCCACTCATAGCTAAAAGACTTCAGTGAGCCGTTTATATTTATGCTTCATTTTCCTCAACTATAAAATGACTGTTATGGAAATGTAAAGATGAATTGACTTGTATCTTTAGAGAGCCAAGATCTTCTTGAGAAGACTAGTACCTCAGGCAGAACTGTGGTGTATAGGTCTCTGGGTGTATACCCCAAAAGTGCCTGGGAGTTGACTGACCATCATGTCCTAACGCCATCACTCTGTGTCCTTCTCAGTTGACTAGAGCCCACTCCTGGTCCCATTGATGATTCTTCTCACTGTTGAAGGCTGAGCATCACTCTTCTATATATCAGTCTTAATCTAGCTGTCCCCTGAGATTATACCAGAGTGACTAGCACAGGGTGGGGTGAGATATTTTCCTAGTTTCCTGTTGTATTATATTTTAACTGTTTAACCCTTCAGTCCCACTTAATTTCCCTAGTCTCCAGGTTCTTACTGTAAAGGGGTATTTCTAAGTATTTCCATGCAGTGGGAGTGGGGTACTTTTTTAATTAATTTATTTTTTTTGTGTGTGCCACAGTATGCATGTGGAGCCTAGAGGACATCTTTCAGGAGTCTGTTCTAGGGTAGAACGTGGGTTAGCAGGCTTTGTAGCAATTGTCTTTACCTGCTGAGCTTTATCATAGGCCCCAAGTTATGCTTTATGTAATTTTTTCATTTGGTTCTGTCCTTTGTATAGTTGCCAGGTTTTAGTCTCTCTGGGAGTTACTAGGACACATGACACTTTATTGGCTACCTTCACTCTTATGCTTCACCATATAAAGCTAATTTGGACCTTGAGATAGGCCTAAACTTTGATTTGGCGCATCGTGGATTCTAGCAGATCTAGCAAACATTCGCTTATCTGAAAACTAACATTTGTACATACTTTCAAATGTCCCCTGAATCCTGCTGGAATGCTGGTTCCCACCATGACAGTTGCCAGGGCTCTGTCCATATTCCATGTATAAGTAAGCTGTCTGTCCCCAATTGTGTATACACTGTCTTGACTCCTTCACTAGAGACATTTTACGCCCTGTTCATGGGTAGACTGTCACTTTACACTTTTTATTGTCCTTTCCACCATCTCTCACAGCAGCTCACTCTGTTGAGAATAAGATGTGTCGATTGCAGTACTCAGTCCATTGCATCCCTTTGTTAGTGATGGAGGCATGCAAGTACAGAGTGTACCCACTTAGTCCAACTTTGCTTTCAATGCATACACTCTTATCATTACCTCCATGAGAGAAAATTCAGTTTGAGTGTCAGTTCTTCCCTAACTAAGAGCAGATCATTTCACTTGTTGGAAATGTATGTCTTCTTTTCCCGAACTTGAAGATTCTATTAATGGTAGTAAATCTCTTGCTGTACATACAAATGATGTCATTTATTTTTATTTAATTTGTTTTAAGAAGAACTTTATTAATGTTATCTAGAGACTTGTCAGATACCTTTTTAAAAGCTTGGATTTGTTTAAAAGTTTTGATTTGTTTTTGTTTTTTTATTCTTGGTCTTAGGTCTTGACCTACCCATTGGAACAACTTTTTTTTTTTGTATTTTGTTTTTATATCTTGGCTACAGTTTCCCCTCCCTCTTCTCCTCCCAGCCCCTCCCCCTCCCCCACCTACTCCTTCTCCATTTCTCTTCATAAAAGGTTAGACTTTCCATGGATATCAACCAGCCTTTGTATAGCAAGGAAATAACAACCACTCAAAAAAGACTGTCTTTCATTCTTTGACAATTTCATACATGTACATGATTTAACTTGATCATATCTACCACAAGACTCCTCAGTATACCTTCCTCACACCCTCATGTTCCCCCATCCCCACTTAGTCCAGTTGGTGCTGCCTGCTGGATTGCTGGCTGATGTTGCTGTCTTGGTCTTGTCTAGGTAACCATAGCTGCAGTGAGTTCATGAGTACAGTGCATTTCACAGCACTCTGCTCTTCTTTCTGCTGCTTCTCCACAAGTTCCATGGGCCTTGTGTGTGTGTGTGGGGGGGGGGGTGGTAGAAATGTCAGTTATGCCTGAGCACTGGATGGGCACACAAATAGTTCCAACATTAGACCAGTTAAGAGTATTCATTAAAAGAAACTTCTCTAGCTCAAGGTAAGGAGCAACTCTAATCTAAGGCTGTAAATGTAAATATTTAGGAAGGCAGTTTGACAACATTTCCATTTATCAAAACAATAGTCCTAGATTCCCCCTAGGGTCTTCGACCTCCTAGGCCATGGGTTTGGGACTAGGTTTTCAGTGTGAAGCAACACAATAAATATGTAGATTCTTACCTATCAGAGTTACTGTTGGCAGTATATATGGAGATCTCTTCTAAACACAGGTAAAATTGTGTAAAGAAAGACTAAAGATCTAATATGAACCAAACTTGATGAAATTCACCATTTTTGATTTATTTTCTTTCTCTATAAAGAAAAAAAAATGTTGGATGAAAAATCTTTCTAGCTAGCCAAGAAAATAGAGCTTTCTGTAGACTAGTTACAGGTTTAAAGCCTTTCATTATGAATTAAATTTGGAATGGGAGTCTTTTGCCAATAAAAATAGTGGAGAATAAGCCTTTAAAGCTACATACATAATGTAGAATCCTGAGTCGCCATCATTCTTCATTGTTTAAGAAATGATGACAAGAAAAATCTTTTCCAGTATTTTTGATCCATGGTTTGTTTAATTGACAGACAAGGAGTCTATGGATTTAAAGGGCCAACTTTATTCAAAATTAGAAATCGCATGTATACTGACATGAATTTTTTCTTGTCGTTATTCCATAAACAATACCAAGAATTTATACTGACATACAGTATATAGAAGAATATGCATAGGTTATACATGTCTACTATGCCATTTTATATAAAGGACTTGAATGTCCTCAGGCTTTGGTGTCCATGGAGGAGGGAAGTTTTGGAGATTAGATCCAATTCTCCACTGAAACCAAAGATCAGTTACATATCGCAAAGAACTATTACTTTCCATTTCAATGGACTAGGGTACTATATTGCATGGTGTGTTGGTCTCATTTTTCACTTTCAATGTGTTATTTTAATACATATATATGTATACATGTATAAGTAGTATTAGTTCACTTTTACTTGTGTAGCAAGAGTGGCCACATTTGTGTATTTTCTTTCATGTTCACCGTCAGTAATGAAAAGAAACTGACACAACAGTGTCAGTGTTGTGACTGGTGATTCCTTAGCTGGGACACTCAGTTCCAAGTAAATTTGTATATTTTGAACACGACTGCAGGTGGTGCTGTCACTGAAGTTATAGGGCAGGGCAAGGACTGTCTCCGTGTATCCCTCACTCCCCATGGGTGGCCTCCTTAAAGTGTGTCACTGACATGAGTTTTCACTCACACTGCCCTCCTTCCCGCCTCACGCAGCTCTGCCCACTCCCCAGCTCTAAAGTCACTCCTTTGGATTTTCAGCTTCTGTTGCCGCATACCCTGATCCCAGTTACTGCATCTCTTAGTCATCTTCTCTATAGAAATTCCCCTTGACATCACACAACAATTATTATTTCAGAATTGGAGAATAGCTTCGCCTATGGTTCCATTTAGGGTCCCTTGTAAGTTTACAGCCAGGCTGATGGACCAGCTCTACAGTCATCTAAAGGCCTGTCTTGCACTGGAGAGTCTGTTTCAAATCCTCATGTGGTCTTGGCCCTTCATAGGGTTGCTTAGAATCTGGCAATGGATTACCTAACAAGTGAGGAAAGGGTGGGATTCCTCTAGATGAGATTTCCAGTGTCTTTGCAGCTTAAATTTAGAAGTGATTTACCACTTGTTCCTTCTTGCTGCCTGCTCACATGGCACAGTGGATGGGTAGGCTCTAAGCCATCTCAGAAGACTAATGGGAGATTTTTGGCTTCCTAAAGGCCCCACCCTCAGTCCTTCAGGATTGTGGGGAAGGTTCCAATATGTGAACTTTGCACAGATACAAACATTGAGACTATAAGAAAGGTCTCTGAGAAGGCATTCTAGAAAAGAAAAATGTGGTATCACAATTTGTCCATGTAGATTCTCTCTCTGTCGTATGCTGGAAGGAAGAACTGACTTTAAATGTGTGTGCTTGTATATATGTTGTTGTTGGTTTGGTTAAAATGTAAAGAACCTGAGTGCTCAACAATGTAGGACTAATTAAACAATCCATTCTGTACAACCAGGAAAAATTAGGAATAAAGCCATGAAAATTAATGGTTATCGTCATCAGACTAATGATCCCTAAAAGTTATTGGGTACCAACTTTAGGCTATGCACCTTTCTAAATGCTTCCTTTCTATTAAATGAATTAACCAACCCTCACAGCAGTCTTTTAGCCAAGATCTGTGATCACCCCCATTTTTAAGATGGGGAAATGAAGGTTCAGAATTTACCTCAAAGCATGCCTAAGGTTAAATAACTAGTATATGGAACTAGAATTAAACTAAGTCAATTTGGCCTTAAAGTTCTTGCCCCCCAGGCATCATTAGGTTTTTCTGTAAACATTGGTGGTGTGTGTGGGGGGGGGGGTAATCAAAATGTTTTTAATTCACCAAGAAATGTGTTAGAGATAACCAGCCAAATTTTGACAAAGCCAAATGGGTAGGGAAATGAAACAGTGTCCCCTGCCAGAGATACAAAAACCCTGCACAATAGAGTGGTGTTTCAGGTACCATGCATATGGAAACAGGCACCAACCAGGTGTAAATGGGAAATGTTCCCTTTTAAGTGTTCACTACTAGAAAGAGGCTGCATGGATATACTTAGTATATTAGTTACTGTCTGTTGCTGTGTAAAAGACCACAGCCAAAAACAACTATGAAAGAAGTTTATTTTGGTTTATATTCCAGGGGGATAACAGCCCATTATGACAGGGAAGTATGGCAGCAAATGGCAGGAGTGGCAACAGGAAGCTGAGAGATCACATCTTTTACCTTAAACACAAAGCAGAGAGAATGAGCTGGATGTAGACAATGCTATGTACTCTCAAAGTTCTTGCCCAGTGACATCCTTCCCCAAGCAGCACCTCCAACTGAGCCTATGGGGGAACATCTCTTTAAACCACATTGAGATATTAATAGTGATTATCACTTATCAGAGGAACCATGGGTAATCTTTCTTTAACTTTAGTTTTCAGATTGTGTTCATAGTAAATATTTTAAAATCGTACAACATAAGCAAGACTTTAATGCTTTAAAGCTGTATGACTTTTGTGTATTGTGACTCACAGTCATTTCCTGAGATGTTTGGTGTAGCACTCATTTGCCCAGTTGCTCAGAGTCCCTAATCCTCCTTTTTTAGTAGAGGATTGAAAGAGATTTTAGAACATTTGATTATTTACAAAACCTACATTATTTATTGGTAGCTGTTAAATTTTGTGCATGTTTCTTCCATCCTTGTCACTTTGCTTTTTTATTCTCTTAGATTTTTCTAGAAGACATATTATCTCATTTATAAGTAATAACTTCTCCCCTTATGTCTGTATAAAATCTACCCAAAACTGAATAGTTGTTTTAAAAGATAATGAGTCAGTTCTTAGATAAAATGAAAATGAGTCCTACCTAAATATAACTAAAAAAATTAAAGTTGCAGAATGTCATGTGTAGTTCAATCTAGTCTTATTTAACAATATCTTTCAAAGTATTGTGTAAAATGCTTGCTTTGAGACTTGTCTTCCCTGCACAGTTACCTAGCTATCTTGGCTCAAATGACCATAAAAAATAATGTAGGATGGGTGACCAAAACAGTAGTTATCTGTTTGCTCATAGTCTAGAGGTCTGAGAGATCCAAGGTCAAGTGAGGTCTCTGCTGACTCCTTCCCTGGTGAGAGTTCTCTTCCTCACCTGAGAGGTTGTCTTCTCTGTGTCCACATAGAGAAGATCTGTGACTCATTGCTCTTAGAGCACAGCCATAATCACAAGTTAGGAGTCAACCCTTTGACTTCACTGAGTCTGAATGAGTTCTTAAAGACCTTGTCTCTAGATCGGTGACATTAAGGTTATGGCTTCAGTATATGAATAGCTTTGACAGTATCCTCCCAAAGTCTGTTTAATTGATTTTATTGTGGACAGGAGTAATTTCATGGTCATGAAAGTCTTTAAGGTTCTTTTGCTCTACCATGTATTATAGGCATTTATCTCAATGTAAACTATGAATTTCTTTTTAGACACAAAATCGAATGAAACTAATGGCTGACAACTATGAGGATGACCACTTCAAATCCTCCCGTTCCAATCAGACGAACCATAAACCCTCCCCAGACCAGGTAAGACTGTGCTGGAATGTCTCATTCTTTAAAAGCGATGGTTCCATATCCATGTGGTAGCATATTGCAAATTCTAGATTGTAGATTTAGAAGAGGAATCTCAGCTTTTTCCCAGTAATTCATGTATAAGAAATGGATGGTTCTGAATATCTTATGAACATGTGCTTCAATTGTTTTTGAGAACCATTATTAAATAATTGCATTGAGATGAGAAAAAAAAATGAGTCCCGTTTTTGTTATTAAAGAATTGGTTCCAAGTTAGGAAATAGGACTTTTTTCAGGCTCAGCAAAGCACAGCTCAGGATAAAAATTACTTCTTGTTGAATTACAAATTATACAACCTGCCCATCTTTGGTGAAAGGTACAGCTGAAGGCTGGGATTTACCTAAGTGGTCAATAGCTTTGCCTAGCATGTGCAAGGCCCTGATTTGAACCTCCAGTGCCAAAAAAATTAAAGGTGATAGAAGAAACTTAAATTTCTTCCCTTCGTTTCCTGGTAGACCCCCTTCAGCATGACCTTCTCAAGGGATGTCATTGCCTTTAGATTGCTACTAGTGCAAAAGAGAAATCCGTGAAACTGAAGGGAATCATCCTCATTTGCAAATATTTTAAAGGAGAAAAACCCTCCCAAGATCTCAACTGTGATGAATGGGGAAGACTGTTGAGCAGATTACCTCATATTTCTGTGTCCAAATCAGTTCCAACATCTCCGTCACACCCAGTGTTAAAATATATAAAAAATAAAGCTGAGGGGAAAAACAATAGCCAAGTAATCATGTCCATATGACTGCCAAATCAAGAAAAACTCCCCTGCTAAAAATCTCCACCAAGTGACAGCTGTGACATTGTCCTAAATAGTAGCCACAGGAATCATATAGATGAAAATAGCAGCTGATATCCAAATTGTTATTCTTTCTAAGACTCAGAAGGAATGGTTCTATAAGATGAGTAAGCCAGCTGAGACACACCCAATGCTTTAGAGGAAAACAGAATCGGCCTTACATAAAATGGAGAGTTATCTGCTTGGTGTCCCCCTAAAGCACTGTTTGCTCTGCCTGATTCCTGCTACTGGAGTTAAGACTGTCTAGCCTCTGCATGAAGCATGTCAGATATGTTCCATGGAACAGGTTTAGATATGAAGTGGAAGTGATTGGCATGGGGAGACAAACAGATGGAGAAAGGCAACTTTAGCAGATCCTACAGAAACACTCTGACTTGATTAATGTTGCAAACCCAGCTCTGGGAAAGGCAGAAGAGTAAACATGGAACCATAAACTAATTACTAATTTGTAGTTTAGGGGACTAGAACCTAATGGGGGAAAAAAAAGGCAAAACTTCTTTTCTGCTACATTATGTTTGTCTTTGTTTTAATACTAACCAACTCTTTTTCATTCCCATGCTGCCCTGGGGCATTGTTCCCATGTCATCTCTCCCCATAGGATGAGGAGGAGGGTATATGGGCATAGCCAATCAGATGCTCTTAGTTCAGCCATTTTGTTCAGAACGGTGAGAAACAGCTTTCCTTAACTACGGAAATGATTTTTGTTTGTTTCCATTTTTCTTTCTCCATGGTCACCTTCACGTCTTGCTCTGTGTGGTCATGAACTCCCCAGTGTGCTTTCTGCCCCTCATTTTCACGTGATTACTGTGTGGGTTGCTGTGCTTTTGACATAGTGGGCTTTGGGGCTTGGGGCTTTTTTTTCTTTCTGTGTGTTAATAGTCACATTTATAATTTCTTTCTGTATGTTTTGAACAGAACTTCCAGGGCATAGAACTAAATTTCTCCAATTAATGATTTTTTGCAAAACCATCCCATCTGATTTTACAGTGTCCTGGTTAGTAACTTACCACAAATTGACTAGGGGAGGGGAGCAGCCAAGTGTGCTGCTGTTAGGTTATTTTAGAAATATACTTTATGATGATTATAAATATATAATCTGTTTTATTTTGTTTTTAAGTCACTATGCCGTGAGCTATATTGTACCTCCTCATGTTCCTCTCTGCCTATGGAAGAATACACTGGATTCTAAGGGTCAGGACCTAGGATAACCCTAGGGCTTTGACTTTATTCTTAAAATATTAATAAAGAAAAGGAGGAACAGAGGGATAAATGAGGTTTTGGGGGTTTTTTGTTTTGTTTTAAGCAAAAAAAAAAAAAAGTATTCTGAATTCCTTTTCATAGATTGCTGTGTTCAGCAGCTGCCAGGACACTGTCTAGATTCTCCTTAACAGGCCAGTTGGCTGGGAAACAAAGTCCAGCTGTGGCAGTGTCTTCCTTTGATCTGATGCCCTTGAGGTTTGACTAAGGAAATCAGTTTATAGGAAAGTGACCATTGTGATTACTAAGCTCACACATCCTGTGGCCTTGCATCCACTGGACACACTGCCCATGCTTATGTTGACCTCACTCCTTCAAAGTCAGCTCTCCCTGAAATGTCTGTGTCTTGATGTTAAACTGCTCAAAAAAATGTAACCGTGCCCCACAACCTCAATGTTGAACACAGCCAAGAAGGATAAAAGGTAAGTTGTTCAATGACCATCTTTCCATATGACTTTAGCAGCAGGTGTGAAATGCTTGATATCAACCAGAGTGTTGTATATCAGAGAAAGCCAAAAAGCAAAGGAAATCTGTGTCCTGATTGTCTGAACACTGCAGGGGCATGTATTTGTCACCATAAGGCACTTAGGAGCCACACAATGTCTATAGTTTAGCAGTCACTTGTAAATGAATGATTCTACTTTATATGAACAGAGCTGTTTCACTTGTAGCCCATTCTAGTCAATAGTAATAAAGACATCGTTTTGGGAAACAAGGTCATCAGGAGATTGAAAAGTAAAGAAGCCATGTCATGTCATGTCCCGGGCTCAGAGTCTGTATTCTCCACATCTGCTGCTATGATGGAGTGGCCTCTGTAACAAGCTTCCTCTGCTCTTGCACTTAGCTTTCCCCAGTTATGTTCTTAGGGGTCAACTGCACCTACTGCTTCTGCCCATGGCTCACACAGCACCTCTGCAGCTGGCTGGCCAAACCTGTTGTTTTTACTGTACAGTACTTTATACTTTCTAAACTCTGCCCCAAACTGTAGGTGGTAAAACATTTTACCTAAGAAAATACACTAGCAAAGATTAGGGTTGTGATGTATGCCTGCAATAACAACACTTGGAGAGCTAAGGCAAAAGATTCTAAGTTAAAGACCATCTCGAGCTATACAGCAAGACCCTATCTCAAAAGCAAACTCAAGAACTGTATGAGTGATCCCTAAAGCACTGCAGAAGTCTTGGCTACTTTCGCTCCTGCATTTATTTCTTTGCTGTTTCTACAGAGAATAGATTTTTTCTCAACAAAATTTTGAATTTGAAATTGATATTTACTTACCAACTTAGGGACTTAAGATTTTGTCTAAAGCATTTTGTAAGACACTGTTCACTGACGATGCTTGAAGACAACATAAGTAATGAGAGCTGAGCATTCTGAGTTTGACCAGGCAGGGGGCTCCAGAGCCTGGGGGTTCCCAGTGCAGGCTTTAAACAGTGTCTGTTCAGTGTTTACAGTAGCACCTGCTGCTGGGTGTGACCACTCCATCCTGACTTCCGTAAGAGGAAAAAAGTAGTAGAGAGGTGATGTTGAGACACAGAACCAGACTACAAGGCCTGGAATCTAGACACCACCACTTAACTCTGTGGCCCATAGAAAGTGGGGTCACCTCTCTGCAGTGGTTTCTTTATCTAGTACATGACTTTCTCAGTACTTTGTGTTAATGTACGATACTGTCAGCAGTTTCTTACATCTCTAAGCACTGTACTTTGTGGATGCTGTTACTATTTTGCTGCAGTTAGTTTAGCTCTCACAAATCATTAATTTAGGTCTCACTCTGAGAATGTTTTCAGTGGCCTTTGGTTACGACTATTGGGAATGTCATTATTGAAATACATTGTTTTCATTTCAGAGGTAAGACTGGGGCTGGGAGAGTTGGAAATTGTGACTCAGGGGCCCCAGGCATTTCTGTGTTCTAGGATGAGTAACTAGAAGCTGTCTTAAGCAGTAACCAAGACATTTGATGTTATGTATGTTGAGGAATATTTTCCTTTAGGAAAATAAATGCCTTGCAGGCTGGCAAGATTGCTCAGTGGATGAAGATACTTGCTAAGCAGTAGTGGCAACCTGAATTCTATCTTCCTAACCCACATGTGGCAAAGGGAGAAAACTAACTTCACAAAATTGTCTACTGACTCTATATGTGCAGCATAGCATGCACATACACACACACACATTCAATTGTTTTAATAATTAAGACACTTTGAATTTTGTTACGATATTCCCTATAACATATACTTAGCCAGCAGCATTTTCTCTAAAAGAATACATTTAGTCAGTAGCAGTGAGATGTTTGCCTACCGCAGGACATCAGTAGTAGTACAGATCTGACCACGTCAGCCACCCTACTACAGACTGCCAGAACAAGGAGATACTGGCTAGTTTTATGTCAACTGGACACAAGCTAGAGTCATCAGAGAGGGGAAAGCTTCAATTGAGAAATGTCTCCATAAGACGCAGCTGTAGTGCATTTTCTTAATTATTGCTTGATGGGGGAGGGACCAGCCCATTGTAGGTGGGACTACCTGGGCTGATGGACCTGGGTTCTATAAGACAGCAGGCTGAGCAAAAAAAAAAAAAAAAAAAAAATGTATGTATGTATGTATGTGTATATATATACATCATTAAAAAAAGAAGATATAAAATAAAAGAAAGCAGGCTGAGCAAGCCATGGGAAGCAAGCCAGTAAGCAGCACCCCTCCTTGGTCTCTGTATCAGATACTGCCTCCAGTTTCTTGCTGGTTTGATCTCTTGTTCTGACTTCCTTCAAGTGATAAACAGTGCCATGGAAGTGTGAGCCAAATAAACCCTTTTCCTCCCCAACTTGCTTGTGGTCATAGTGGTTCATCACAGCAACAAAAACCCTAACTAAGACAAAAGATTTCCAGTCTAAATTAGCTTGTTC